ACTAAACTTTTCATTATGAGTCATGGTCATACACTTGTGCCAGTTGTGGAAATATGAGTTTCCTTGTCAAATATCAGCCACCTATATGGATATAATTCAGTAGTAATAAACAAAACAGAAAAAGAAAATGTCTGGAAACAAATGAACACACAGCAATTAATTCACTCATTTAACTGCTGTTTTCAAGATAATCTCTTCAGCATACAATGTTTCTAGGAATCACGTGCAATCAGAATGTAACAGCAACAGCACATGTCAACAAAAACAGTGTGAGCCATTCCAACTAGTGGCGTTTTTCTCCATCTTGAGTCAATATTTTAAAATACTTATTTATAAAAGTGCAAAGTAAAAATAACATACATTGCATATAATAATAATAGTTTTCTTACCTGTTACTCCTTTTTAAACACAGAGTTGTTAAGCATCTGTGTTATTTTTATTTTCAGGGGTACATGTTTCTGTAGTATCCAACCTACTGTCCATCCCTCTTCAACCTGTTTACTTCATTTCTCAAACATTGTGACTAGTGATGAGTCTATAGTCTGATCTGTTCCTATCTTCGGGTGACTGGCTGACATTATACTCATAGTTACATACCACATTTGCCCATATACATCTACACATAAGATGATGTGTTTTCACACTTAGGCATCTGAAAAAGCAAGGGTTGTCTTACCCTCACACACTTGGAAAATACTGTGCTGTAATTGAAGCTTTTACATCAGAGTAGTATTCTCGAGGCTATTTCACAGCATTCTTATTCTTACATTGCTGGAAAATCCAACACTGCTATGTGCAGTGTCAGAAGCAAATGGGAGTGCTCTTCTTGATCAGAAGTCTTCTGGCCGAAGCTTTATTGCACATATACGTGTATTATTCCCAGATTTAAAAATTGTGAGAAAGCAAAAAAGGAGTAAAATACTGTGGTAAAAATTATGGGTGATCATGCTGAAAAGAGATCTTCAGCAATGTCACAGACATCAAAAGGAATGCAACTGTAGCTATTATGCAAAAGAACATAACAAAAATTCTGTTACTGCAGTAAATGCACATCACTGGAGGAAACTACAGGAATGAGGCAGTGTCATGAGGGGGGGACACGTGTACAGCTCAAACAATGAGTATACAAAGACAATGAAGAACAACTGCTCATATTTGTGCTTGGAAAACATAAATATGGGCTCCCCAGTTCATGAGACAATATGTACTTCAACCAAACTGTTTTTGTAGGATTTGAGGGTCTCACAGCAGTGGTTATTAAAAATTGTATCTATATCTATATATACACACACACACACACACACACACACACATATATATATATATATATATATAATGCCATGTAATCCATAGTATGTCAATTGATGCATCAGAGGAACATATATGAAGATGGAGACTATATGTTCCTGAAAAAGTAACCTGACTTTCAGTGGACTATATGCAGTTGTATTCCAGAAGACAGGACTCTCCATGCATGCAGCACAAACATGCAGACACACACAAGGTAAAAAAAAGTAAGTAAAGGTATCCTTGTAACAGGCCCTGGAGGCCCATAGGGTTGTGAAATGTTGAGGTTCCCACATTTTCTAGACAATCGGCTCATAGATGGCGGTAAGGTTGTCAGCCTTATGTACCAGCTGCCCTTTACCCCCAAGAACATTCCAAGAACATTCCTGGTACTCATTTCTGTTAGAGGCTGAGTCAACCCCAGGGCCAAAGTGTGGCTGGAAGGATTAGGTAAATTGAAAAAATCCACCTCAACAGGATTTGATCCCGCGACCTCTGGCTTGTAGCATAGTATACAAAAGGTATACTCCCAATTATCTGTGCTAATGAAGGGAAAGAGAAATATGAATAACTGAAACACAAGGGTAGTCCAAATTTCAGGTGTGACTGGGAGACCACGATGACTGTTGAATATAGAAATCAGGAATGCAATGATGGTGTACAACCCATTCAGTTATCTCAAAAACTTTACTGATAGTAAAATATATATTATGTTTCCCTATAACTTTTGTTCATAACACTCTTTGTAATAGTAAGTATTTAGTGAATAACCCTCAAGATACATATAGAAATGAGTGTGGGGCTTCACACAAAAAGGCTGTTAAAACTGACTGTTGTAAATGAAAACTGAAATGGTTTCACAATTCCGTGGCCTGTAGTCCTCAAGTGAACTATACTGACTGAGCGACCACCGCTTGTCGGTGAAGTTAGTGCCAAATTTTGCAGACAGAGGTTGTCACATGGTCAGTGCAATGGATCTCCACGGCAATTAATCTCGTTTTCTTAAACTGGAGCAGCTATTTCCTTTGAAATAGCTCCTACATTATCTTCATGAGGCTGAGTGGACTCCGTTCCAGACCCACTACTTCTCAGAAAATCTGGTAGCACCGGGAATCGAATCCAGGACCTATGGATCTGTAGCCAGGAACTGTAATCACTAGACTACAGAGGCAGTCCACGGTTTCAAAATTCATCATAAAATTCTACAATATCAAATTTCACAAAAGTCCATCCAATGGTTCATGAGTTTATTCATGTATCAGACATAGGGAGAGACAGATGGATAGACCAAAAGAACTTAACAGGCACTCCACAGAGTTGTGTACTCACCTAAAAATGGTGGACAGACAAGCCACAGACTGGATAATTGGGAGTATACTGTATACATATTGATGCTTGTTTGCACATACGTTTACTAAAGAAATTTTAGATTTAGATATTCTTAAAATATGTGTATAGAATTATAGTATAGTCCCATTACATCTGACATCAGAATTGAAAGTGGCAGTCTAGTAACAATACCTTCCAAGAAACATCCAGAATAACAATGAGGTCCAAAACACCATAAATTGATATTAACAAACTGAATATCAGACAAAATGTTAAATACAACTGTACACAACCAAAACTTCAAAAATAAAATGACATGTAATCTTAGAAAAACATCAGTGTAATATAAATTTTATAGATATAACACCACAATAATACAAATATAAATCATATACACAACTAGGATATTTACGAGTATAACAATAAATAGCCTGTATTACTACATACACAAAATTCATGACACATGCCACAAAACTTACTGACTTTTATATCAGAAACAAGAAATGTATGTAAACAGATTCTGATGTTATTTGTAATTATATATGTTTTATAATTTCATATTATTATTTTGAAAATTTTAAAATTCAATTAACAGATACAATAAGCCCATTTACATAGAAGGCAACTTCCATAGAACAGCAGTTTGGTTGAACCACATATTTGTATGACCTGGTGATGACCTACTAAACATCAAAATATGTAGATGAGCAATGATAAGACACTGTTATATAATTTGGAAAGAGTTATGTACAAGTACTTAACATTTAAGACATTATATTCAGTAAACTTTCGTTTAATGTTCCTTGAGTTAACATTTTTCATCACTCAATGTTCTGTTTCAATAATCTCAGCGTTAAATTTCCTTCACTTAAGATTTTCAATTCAGTATCCAATTTCACTGCTGCACAAAGAACATAAAATGAGGGATCCACTGTATAGAAAATAAGGGAATGACAGTGACTGCAAGGCCTGGACTGCTTTGAGCAATATGACTTTATCATTAGGAGTTCTTTTAATTAATACAGTTTATTATTACATGCTAACACTTTGTTCCTATGCATTTATAAAATGTAATGTTTTCATAACAGTCTTCACATGCACATTTGAATGCATTACATTTCTTTGATTCTAAGATACTGAACAGGGTACATATATCCTTACTGAAATACAAGCCTGGCCAGTTACAACAAGGTTAAAGGTAATTTTTTTTATGCTAGTGGGGTGGGACTAAGTCCCTTGTACTGCGGCCACTTCTGGCCTATTGTACCGCCCCAGATGATAGGTGGGGGCGACTGTAGAGCAATTGGTGGAATGAAGATTGGCAGGGGAAACCGAAGTACTCGGAGAAAACCTGCCCCAGGACCACTTTGTTCACCACAAATCCCACTTGACCAGACCCAGGATTGAACCTGGGCTGCCACAGTGGGAAGCCAGTGACTAACCGCTTGAGCTATGTTGCAGTAGGTTAAAGGTAAAAGATAAAGCTGTTCCTTTGCTTAATTAATTAAGCACAACACCATGAAAACATATGAGGGAGTGGAAGTATAAGTCAAACGTTTTTGACCTCAGCACTAGATGGAGGTGTGGTTAGTTTCACTCCCTGGCTGCTTTACTCCAAGGGAAAGCACCCCCAGTACACATTGCATAGGAGGCTGGGTGGGCCCCACAGCCAGTGTGCACAAAGAGGAATAAAAAAATCTCTTCCTATGTTGATATAAATATATTGTCCTCCAGAAATTTTAAATGAGAGTCATTTTATATTCAGGTAAATAAGGCATATATATATATATACTCAGTTCTTTAAGCGGAGGATGCAATAAAACGTAGAACTCTTTGCATATTAACACATCGCGGACTGGCAATTTTAATATTTAAATCACCCTGGGGACCAGCATTATTAAACCTACTACCCTAACTTGTACACTGTTCATTTTAAAAATTAATATAAAACCTCCTAATTAATTTTATGAAGTAAAATTTTTGGAGAACACTTACCAGTCCTCCTAGAAGTGCTTGAGAGTGTGATATTTCTGGAAACATTTCCCTTTGTGAAGTGGCATTACACAGAACTTGCAATGTAGACAGTCATACTCCATTTTCTTTTTGTGAACTGTGCAAACACAGCATTGCCTAGAAGGATGCTTCCTCTTGGGATGTTCACTCTTCACAATTTTCACAAGAGTATCTTTCCGCATATCACCTGAGAGTCCCCCTGGGGGGTCCACATGAGGCCTGCGTGGGGTGGGAGTTGATGGGCCCGCTTGCACTAAGTCTGTGTCTGACTCTGGTTCTGCCGCCACCATCTGGTCTGTAGCCCAGGCCTTTGCCACATTCATCAGAAATGCTTTGTATTTCAATTGCAAATCAGGGTTTAGATCTTTGTGATTTTTTTTAGATTTTTTCCTGTCCCCACAATGGTCCTACCCACATTTTCGTCAGAGCTACTGTCACTTTTACTGTCTGTGGCCACAATTCTTTGTTGTCCCCTGTCACTGCCACTGTCTGAGTCACCATCACTATGCATCTCACAAGGCACGTAAGCTAGATCATTGGAGAAGAATTTGTTCTTGATCCATACTCCACCACTAACTACTGGCTGATATATACAACTTGAAGACAGGCAAATCATTTTCCTTTAGAGCGTATTAAGAAAACAGTGAGGTCATGTTACTGAATACTACGCAAACATTCCGGAGTTTTATGGCTCAGTAGCCCTGCAGCTGCGTGGCAAAAGAGCAAGGTACAGTGTGTTGCAACGTAACGTGTCCTAAAATCATATCATGCGACCAGTCTGCCACGTTTAAAAGCGAAAAGCATGATATCATGCGACCAGTCCTCAATGTGTTAAGAACAAACTATTTTATGTCCTCTCTTTGATTTATGGTGATGTCACAAAAACAGCCACAGATAATGATCAGCAAAGATATGTGCAGAATTTATACCTGATATCTTTGTATTACAAATGAGACCCTGAGGTGAAATAATAATTGAATTTGTATTCAGCTTCAGAGTTGGGAAAACATTTTTCCATGACATAAGCATAGTTGGCAGTAACTGTAAAATGCACCCATTTAAACCAGTTATTTCCTCTGCAAGTGTGAATAATCACAGGCTTGAAATATTTTCCACAGTTCTATAATACACAAACACAGATCTCTGTGTCAACACGTCAAAAATGAGGAAAAGATATACATCTGTCTGAGATTATTCATAACACATACCTTCTAAATATGTGTACAGTTCTCTGTGAAATACCAGACCTGCCTCCATATCAACAGCTCAGACCAAAAGTGTGGGCATGGATTTCTTGCCAGGCCACGCTTCCTTTGCATACTTCTTTTTCCTAGGTTCATGACTGAGTTCAGCTGCAGCAGCAGCCAGGGGTCCAACCTGTCCTGGCACCACACTTGGTGGCAGAGGAGCTGGTGCCATTTCCACTTCAGGAGCAGGGTTTGGCAGAGCAAGACCTAATCGTGAAGCCAAGGCTGAAGAGAAAAGGAGAGGGTTGTTGCCACTTGGAGAAGCAGGTATTCCTGAAACAGGATCACAATTTCATATCAGAGTATCAAAACCTTACATTATTCATGTTTCTGACTGACTATTACTTTGTGAGATCTTGCACATGATGAACACAGCAAAGAATCTTTCTTCATGGAGTCACACCAAAGGAGCTTAATAAATTCAGTGCAGGACATGCAGCAACTCCTCACTTTACAAACATTCAGGCAAAATTTTCGTAACTATAACACATAATATCCCATTATCAGTACAAATAAAAATTTTTGCTACACTGAGAACATCATCTTTCCTACCCTGACATCCATCTATGCAGCACTTCTGCCTTGTCTGTTGTGTGGTACATTCAATTTTTGTTTTATCTCAAAATGTCTTGTTAAACCTCATTCACCAGGCCCATGGTATGGATGTAGTATAGTATTGTTTAGCCAGTGTCTCATCTTACAATGTATTTGTCCGTTCTGTTGACCCATGCTGTACTCAGCTGGCTCATGCGTGTTGCATCCTGGCATCCTGCCATTCCTTAACCCCATCCCCACCGGCATTATGCTGACGTCTTTACCACTACTTCTACCTATGTAGACCATTTGCCCTTCCTTCCCGCTGATGTCTCGGAAGGAAGTATGTGTGTCTGGGCACTCTGAAGGACTACGTAGTCTTGAGAGGTTGCTTACCATCCACCGGAGGACTAGGAACTGAAATACTATTTTGGACTTTGTATTTCTAAAGTTATGTTTGACAATCTCCATCTGGCTGGTAAGGGTATGGATGCCCGCAGTCACAACAGAATATTTTTGATTCCAGTGCAGTTGCAACCATGTTCATTTTTGTTGTACTAGTATTATTATTTTTGCTGACCTTTGGTGTAACCTGTTTGATGGCTTTAATGAGGCTGGTACAAATGGGGCAGTTTAGTTTTATATTTGTTACAACTGTCCATAACAGGCGATTACTTGGGCAATCACTACTTTGGGTTGTTGTGCCTGGCCCTTTTGAGTTTTATGCCTTGCTTATTTATTTCTGTATATTGTGTGTGTGTTTCTTTTTTTGTTATCTTGGTGATTAAATATTGTTATTGTTTGTTTTGAAAGCCTGCATATATGTTATCTTCTCCATAAATGCTTGGATACCCATGAATACACTGGGGAGCTTGCAAATGCGACAACAGAGCCAGAGACAAGGGCTGCTCCTCCCGACTTCTATCTTATGAAGTGGTAGTAGGTGGTAGTACAAGTAGAGAGAGTGAGAGAAGGGGAGGGGCGGTTAACTGGTAGCTGCTCCTCCTGACTTCTATCTCATGAAGTGCTAGTAGGTGATAGTATGAGTAGAGCGTGAGAGAAGGGGAGGGGCGGTTAACTGTAGGGAATATAAACTGAGTTGCAGTTTATATTCCCTACAGAACGGACAAATACATTGTAAGATGAGGCACCGGCTAGACAATTAATGTCAATACTACACTACATCCATACCACGCGCCTCCAAAGCAGTTTATTAAATGAAGAAAGCAGTCTTCTGGGATTTGGCACCGTGTATATGTGGTGTTAACCGACGTTTCGGAGGAACGTATCGCCTCCATTTTCAGGGTAGAAGAAAAAATATAAGAAATCTTCAAGCGAAGAGACCGTGAGAAATGGTAAAAGCAGACTGTGTTGGAAATATACACAGCTATGTGAGAGCAGAGAAGGAAGGGGGGGAAGGGCAAGTATATGTCGGTTAACACCACATATACACGGTGCCAAATCCCAGAAGACTGCTTTCTTCAGTCACCACCGTGAAAGCCTCAAATCTTACATAGTTTATTACATGTATACAAAATCCAGAATATACCATTACGTCCATGGGAATATAAAAATTGCAACAACCAACAACTGACTTGATGATATAAAACATCATTCGAAGAGTCTTAACCTTGTTTTACCCTATAACTTTCATTTTTATATAGTCTAGTTCACTGTACTTTTATGCCAAGCATTTTATAATGTAATATTATCATGCATCCAGTTTTACCAGTCCTGCAGTTCAGTGGTGTGAATATGTGAATCATGTATTTGCCTGATAATGGCTTTAATAGCCAAAATATGTAGCACAAGCCAATCGTGGCCTTGACCTTGATACTGTTGTGTTGTGATGGATTTTAATAAAGAAACTGTATAACACAACAGGATCCATGAAATGAAAATTCCCTGATATAAGTACATGTATGTATTACCTCAACTCACCGCATTTCTAAATAGTCTTTAGATTAACAGAGAATTCATTTTTATTTAATGAATGTTCACATAACACACGACTAACAAAGACCTCTTTAGAAAAAGAGGAATAGGTACATAACTTTACCTGCTGTGGAATTCATCTGGGTTGTAATGATTTACAATCAAACGTACCCAACTTAACAAAATTAAGTTACCTGCCGGAGAACTGGTGGATGTCCCACTACTGATGTTACCATGACTTTCAGGAGGCAAATCCTGATAAAGGTGAGGCATGATAGCAGAAGGATGGAGATGCTTCATTAAAGTTAGACGATCATCTGAGCTATTTGTTAATCCACTAGTGGGTCCCATTCCATCCACCCGTTGACGCTAAAATGAAATGCACATGAAATCTTTATTCTCAGCAGTTCTGTTTTTAAACTGAGTATGGAAAAGATGGCAAAAAATTAATGATAGGTGACTGTGTAATAAATTGGCTGTGAGTTCAAATGCATTTTCTAAAGTAAGATTATGTGGGTAGAACCACTGTACAGGAATATTATATTGTCACAATTTTAATGACTATAGAGGAGGTTTGGATTGGTGACTGGATTTACTGAACGCTTACAATTTGTAACTACATGTAAGGATTATGTTCTCACTGTTCTACACTCCTCACAAATCACTACAAGACACATTATGTCTTCTCAGTCTGTTACAGTCTTCGCTGTGTGTTGTTTGGCAGTGACTACCAACAGTGGACATTTCCCTTCCTCTGGGTTCCCAAACTGTCCTTGGCCTTAGCTACCAGCTTCTCACTGGAACAGCTGACAACAACTGAATCTCAGTGGTTATCTCACTGCAACTTCTAACTTGTCCTGCTTATAACATTTCGGCACAGATGATGTAGATAACAGCTTCCCTCTGTTACAGTGTGTTGCTTAGCGATGGTATGACATATTCTATTGGATGACAGCTTCCCTCTGTTACAGTGTGTTGCTTAGTGATGGTATGACATATTCTATTGCTGTGTGTGTAGCCATCAGCACAGACCATGCAGAAAACACCATTCCTCCGTTGTTTATGGGCCGCTGCCTAGTAATGGCCTGCTGTTGTGACTCCATAATTCTTGCTTTAAGAGCATATGCCACATTGATCCCTCCTTAAAGCTGCTCATCCCAAGTAGCCTATGTGCTTGCCACCATTCCTTCTTTTCTGAGGGGACGTGTCTATGACATGTGATTGACTCACCTTCCTTCCCCCTGGATCAGTTTTCACAGTGATTATTCCCCAATTGCTCCTGCTGCTCCTTCCTTAAGGCTGCTCATCCCTAGTGGTTCCCTGATAATGTGCAAGCTGGTCCAGGTGTACCACAATCTACCATTCCAAGGGCTGTGCTTTTGACATCATTTTTTTCATTTCAGAGGTGCCTGACCCCTCCACAATGTCAGGCAATCACCCCCCATAACTCAGTTAATGACCCAAATATTCGTTTTTCATTCTCCAGCTCTACAGTCTTCCTGAAGATCCTGCTGAATGTCCTCCCCTTCCTCAGAGGTAGCTGCGTCTTGTGCTTGGTCCTTTATATCATTGTTGCATTCTGGGCCTTTCTGTCATCTCTTCTTGACTGTTGCTCCTATATGACCATGTCCCTTAAGCCATGCAGGAACGGCACAGTGGATCATCCATCTGTGGGTGGCAGACAACTTCCTGTGGGACCCACAATTGTCCTGGGTCACTTCTTTGGCTGTTGGCAGCATCCTACAGTTAGGTGCCAGTCCCCATATTAGTCCATACACTCCTCATAGCTAGCTTCTATCTTGGTTTGGTGGGTATCCATCTGGGAGCTGAAACTGCCTCGAGGGACCTCAACCTTCTCATTGTTGGCCTCTATCTTGGCTTCCAGCCTTGCTGTCGTTTCTTCTTTTATTTCCTTTAGGTTGACATCCATCTCGCTTAGTTGGTTTTCAATTCTTCTCAGTTGGTTATTCCAGCATTCATTTCAGCCAGCAGGTTTGTCATCATTTGTTCCATCTTCATAGTGTGGCGATATGAGTATTCAGTGCAATCTTCAATTCAATAACTCAATCAATCCAATTGATCAGCCAACCCAATCCCACTTCTGACACCAGTTGTCATGTGACAGAGTGACTACAGATGGGATTTGGATTGGTAATTGGATTTATTGAATTATTACAACTCATAACTACAAGTAAGGACTATGCTCTTACTGTTCTACACACTTCATAAATCACTATAGGACACATTAGGTCTTCTCACTCTGTTACAGTCTTCACTAGCCATTGCTTGGCAGTGGCTTCCAACAGGGCACATTCCTTCCTCTGGGTTCCCGAACTGTACCCTGCCTTAGCTACCAGCTTCCACAGCAACAGCTCACAACTGAACCACAAGCAGTTTACTAATTCACCCACCAACTCCACTAACTCCTCATCTTGGCCACTTGCCTATCTTGTACCTTGACCACTATCTTTGAGTCTATGCAATTGGTTAAGCATATTTTAACCTCCCTATGTGGGCCACTGTTGAGGAGGGACTTGTATTTTTTTCATTCCAGTTCACATGGAAAAAGCTTCCTAAACTCACTTCCGTCCATATACATGCTACACCCTTTCTCCTGTCCATCTTGTGATGTGTAGTATACAAAGGACATCAAAATCTTTATGATCAAGTTCTTTACTCTTAGCAAGCTTCCAAGAAATTTCTGTTAATGCAGTAAAATTCATGCCACCAGTAAACACTATCTTCTTCCACTTTACCTGCTGAGCACCCATTACTCATTTCTTTTGTGGAATTCTCTTCTCTCCTCCTCCTGCTAAAGAGTGGTATTGTAGAATTTTCCATGAAATTCTCAGTCCAAACACCCTGTTCTGCAGTCACATCCCATAGTTACTGCTCAAACTGCATAGTGAAATTCAATGGAAAATGTGCAAGATGTGTTTAAAACATAAGAAATCAAATGAACTAAACATTCAAAATAAAAAAGAAATTTTAGATTCAATCAGTAAAGGTGTTGGCCTGATAGTGTTTGACAAAAGGATGCTGACAATATCTGGACTTAAGAGGGATGAAGTAGCAGGAGGCTAGAGAAAACTGAACAATGAAGAGCTTCATGTACACCTCATTAAATATTATCAGAACAATAAAATCATAGAAAATTAGATGGACAGAGTATGTAGAAAACACAGGAGAGGAGAGATTTGCATACAAAGTTTTGGTAGAAAAACCTGAACAAAACAGGCCACTACAAAGACCTAGACACAGATGGGAAGACGGCATTAAAAGATTTTGTAGAAATAAGATGGGAGGGCACGGACTGGATTCAACTGGCTCAGTATAGGGAACAGTGACAGGTTCTTGCAAACATAGTAATGAACCTTGAAAGAGTATCTGAGCAACTATTAGCTTCGCGAGAATGACTCAGCACCATGGAGTAAGTTAGGTAGTTAGTTCATTAGTCAGTTAAAGGTGTCAGCTAGTGAACAATTACTCAGCACTGCTGCGTGATTTTCTTAGAAAATGTATGTATTGTATTAGTCTCATAGTACACAACATCACAATTACTGCAGTATTAGTAATTTACATGATATTTTGTACTGACTCAGTTTACTGTGTTGTATTCTCAGAACAGTAATTTTAAACCCCCCAGCGCTATAGGGGTGGCAGACATGTTTTAACTGAGGGGACAGTAATATTAGAACTGGAAAAATGCAATTCTCAGCAAGTTGGACTGCACCATGTGACCACGGATAAATTCCATGCACAGCCAATGAAGGTTACCATTATAGTATTTGTTTTATGTAGTGTTACCACTGAAATCTTAAATAAGGGCACTTGAATTGTGCTTAATTTAGACATTCTAATATTATGTTGCAATGTTATGGACATAAATTGCTTAAACATAACTGCTTAAATTGGTGGCATTTGAGTGGAACCAAAAGAAACCAACATAGATATGTTGCATTGTATTTTATAAACCCCTCCTTCAAAAACACACAAACCACTATTTAAACGTGTACTTTTCAAAGAATTTCTTCACTATGTCCCTTGTGTAGCTGTCCAAATTATGGGAGGGTCAACTGTTTTTTTTGTATGGTCAGGGTTCTGTGAAATTCATCACTTTCGTCTCACAGTTGGATATTTCCTTCTGAGACATGTAGTAGGTGGCTTGGTTCAAGCTTGAAGCCAGCTGCACATCAGTAAATCAGTGAAGTTAATGCACAACTTGAGACCAGTTTCTTTAGAAATCCTCAACTACGACTGCGGAAGTCGTAATTTTAGCAGGGTCATCCTGGACCCATGCTACCCCCAAATTCCAGTTTGAGGGTCGCACAGCAGGTGGCAGAGTTCACCTCTAAACTCTGGCTGCTTGAGAATTTCTTTTTCTAATTTAAGCATTCCAGCTTGCCCAGTCAGCCAATCAAAATCTGAGATGGGATGTCCTTTGCCTGAATTTTTGTAACCAGGGCAGATGTCTATCTTCAGAGGGATACTTGGTTGGAAGGCTCCAAAAATTAGACTTATCAGGGATGCACATGCTCAGTATTTCTGATCACCCATTTGTTCACTTGTTTGTTGTTCATCTTGAACTAGTGTGTCTTAGGAATCAGTGATAGGACCTAAACCCAGTAATCAATTAAGTTGATCATTGTTGCGCATCTATCTCTTTAGTAGTGTTATACTAATAAAGACTTGAAACTGCCAATTGGTGTTTCAGTGCCGATTGTCCTACACCTGAGCGCCCTTTAATCATCCAAGTCACGGCCAGTCAACACGACCTGAGAGGAGTTGGTTTCTCTATTGGAACTAGGCAATTACAAAAACAGCTACACTTTCACTTCTTCCAGAAAACCACCATCCTCAGCTAAAGCTTAAGTGTTTCACAAACCATTTCTCTCCTGGAAGGAAAGAAACTCTGTACTACTGTACATTTCAATTATCAAACTGAAACAGGCTGCAAAAATATAATTTCCTTAAAAAGTACAGAAGCAACCACAATATTGAGTTTTGTGAATTAGCTTTAAAATCATACAGGTACATAAAAGATCTGCCCTGAATCCCTCAATAACATGTTTCACATATCACTGAGGTAGCAGGGAACCTGCTGAAACTAATACATTTAAGGGAAACAAAGATGGAAGCTATGGGCAATTATCCATTAAGACTTTAATAACTTATAATTAAGGATTATTCAACACATACTAATGTGCCATGTGAAAGGTAAATTTCTTTGCTTATGTCTCTATTCCAGACAAGATGAGAATACATAAACATGAAGTACCTTTGTAGGTATGACGGTTGTGTGAATCATATTTCTAAATCTGCCAACTGATGGATCCACATCTTCAGGATTGATTACTTCTTCCTCTTCACTAAAGGTCAGAGATTTCTTCTTACGTTTACGTGATGTTGGGCGAATCTCTTCATCTGGAATACCTAACATTGAAATTCGACGATTGTGAGCTGTGTTGAACTCAGTAAGGTTCTGGAACAATGACGCGAATACAATTAGCAAGATAAAGCAAAGCCAGTTCATTCAATCTAAAACAAATATTTTACATTATGATGCACTGCCCAGGCATAATTTTACAGACAACTGCTCAGCATTCCTTTTGACCCATACGAGGCTCCACTTCCTCTCCCTCTGCCCTGAGTCTCTGTGACCACTTTTTCAACTAGCCTAATGACAACTAGTATGTACTGAGCACAGACACTCATGGAAACCTCACAGCAAGACTGCAGAATTTAAATAAAGGAATTAACAACATGTGTAATCAACTTACATCCAATTCAGTCTCTGTTTCTGGCAAGCCTAGCAAGCCACCTTCAGCTTCCTCTGATGTCTTCTCCAGTTCCTCAATGATTGGTCGAGCTCCTGTTTGAGGGCGTTCACGAATTATGTAATATCGTGTAGAAGCACCAAAGTGAAACGTGCTATCAATTGGAAGCTGTGTTGGTTTATGGGATTCCAGACGTAAAGAACCAATAAATGTTCCATGAGCTATAAACAGAAAGGAATGAGTCAGACAGTAACTGGAGGAACAGAAATGCAGACGGTAATAATAATAATAATAATAATAATAATAATAATAAGGGGCCAAGGGGAAGAAGAGGCAGATCCTCTCCGACCCCAGGAATATAGATGCGAATATATAGCCTCTCTATACTCAAGACCGTCCATGCATGATGAAGAATCACACCCTACAAGAGGTAGCCCCGTTGAACACCTTAACAGAACATGGCGGATCTAGAGGAGTAAACCTCGAAAAAAAAATCCCCTAGCCCAAAGTGTACACTACTGTGCTGATGGACTACAGGAGCACCTGCGGCGGAGGGTGAGAAGCCATAAACGGTGAACTCCAAGGAAAGGCGACCCTTGGTTACAAGCAGCCTTACTGCGGCAGGCGGGGCAATATCGCAGCGGACAGAATAATTCCCTAGCTACTCGTGGGACAGCAATGGAAAAAAAATGCAAATGAATATATGTACAAAGGCAGAAGGAGTAGAGCGCAATCCTCTAATGATCAACAAGGCGAGAATGGTAACCACAAAGAGGAAACTCAACGTGGACCACCTCCAAAACAACCCAACGTCGGGGAACCAAACAACAAAGACAAAGCTAATATACGGACCCAATGGAACAAAGAGGAAATGAAGGAAGTTGTGTGGTGTTTCCTGGCATCAACAGGCAATTACAAGGAATTGAAGTACCAGACAACTGGTACTCACACGTGCCTAAGTCAGTATGTGAACATGAGGATATAACCGTGTTATGGAACCAAGGCGTACAAACAGAGAGGTTCTGGCAAACAGGCCAGACATAATAATTAAAAACAAGCAAAAGAAAACTTGCATACTTATAGATGTATCAGTACCATCAGATAGGAATGTAGTACAAAAAGAAGCAGAGAAGAAATTAAAATATAAAAATTTAAGCATCGAAATTCAGCGAATGTGGAACATGAAATGTTTTGTGATACCAGTAATTATTGGAGCCACGGGTACAGTCACGAGAGGGTTGAGAAAATATTTGGAACTAATTCCTGGTAAGCAGTCCATAGATTCACTGCAAAAAAACAGCTATCCTGGGAACATCACACATACTATGGAAAGTGCTACAGTGTGAAGCTTGAAGCCTGAGTGGTGAGGTGCATCACTGGTTCAAGAAAAGGAATACCAGGAAATAAACCTGTGACAAGAGATGATGATGATGATGATGATGATGATAATAATAATAATAAATAATAATAATAATAATAATAATAACAACAACAATAATAATAATTCAATTTGTGTTTATTTACATGCAAACTTAAAGAGTACAGTAGCCAATTACAAAGTTAGCACAAATACACAGAAATACACAAAATAATTAAAGAGCAAAATACAAAATACGACAGTCTATATAACAGCAATAGATTAATAACAATTCCAAGAAAAATTAACGTTAGTTTTAACGGGCGAAAAAAATAAAATAAGTACATTCCAATAGTTATGCCATTTGTGGCAAGAAAGGACAGTACATGTACACAGAAGTTGATAATAATAATATTTATAATAATAATAATAATAATAATAATAATAATAATAATAATAATAATAACGCAATTAATAATTATAATAACTCTTATCAACATAAATCAAACATATTTCTGAGAAGTGAGAAAAGTAAAATATATACAATCAGTATTTAGATTGGAATAATCATGGCAGCAATAATGTATAAAAGAATTAAAGTTTTAATGGATCAATGTATAAACATACTAATTTATTCCAACTTTTTGTTTATTTACATGCTAAATATGATGGAAATGGCCCTGACTGCAAACATGTCAAGATCTTTACCCACAGAGTTGGCAGCATAGGAGCACCAAGCAGGACAGTGTTTATTAGAAGGACAAACACCAAACAGTGAGAAGTCCCTAAGATTGCTGGGAGGAACACAAAGGCTAACATTTTCCAAAAGGAAAGAGCAAGATTTAAGTCCACGACAGACCTGAATAAAAAAAAAGCGCATCAAGGTGATGTTTCCGTTTACGTAAAGGTTTTAGACTTAATTTCTCTAAGGCATCTGCATAAGTATATGGAATATGAGCGAAGAAACGATAAGAATGGACGGACATAAACTTCTGTTGGATGCGATCAAGCTTATTGGCATCAGTTGAAGTGATGGAGTTCCAAACCACAGAGGCATATTCCAACTTGGACCTGAGTAAAGTAAAATATAGCACATACAGACCCTCTAGGGAGGAAAATCTGTAGGTTATGGAGCGAATAAGGCTTAAAAGCTTTATGCATTCAGAAAATATGTAATTAACATGTGTGTGAAAATATAATTTTGAATCAAAGAAAACACCTAGGTCCTTAATACTGCTAGCTCATGTAATGATAGAATGACAAAGTTGATATTCGTAATTCAAAAAATTAGTTTTCCTTGGGTATGACACAACACATGTTTTAGCAATATTAAGTCTCATGGAGTTAGCAATGCACGAGTCACTCACGGAATCGATATCAGATTGAAGTAAGAGGCAATCATGTGGAGAGTTAATGACACAGAAAATTTTAAGATCATTGGCAAAAATTAAAAGTTTACAGTAGTTAACAGAGTTGCATAGGTCATTTATGAATACACTGTAAAGAAAAGGCTCCAGAAGAGAGCCTTGCAGCACACTGGACGTGACACAAAAAGGCAGGGAGAGAGTGCTAGAAACGCGAACCCGAGATTGTCTGTTGGTCAAGTCACTGCAAAACCAGCTAACAGAAGCATGAGAAAATCTGAAGGAACTTAATTAATGCAAGAGCATATTATGAGGGATGAGGTCAAAAGCATTTGAAAGATCAAAATAGACAGCATCAGCTTGATGCTGACCTTGGACAACAGGCATAAAAAAAGTCGAGAAACGTCACCAAATTGGTAATTGTAAATTTAGTTCTGGTAAAGCCATGTTGACTGGGAGTAAATTTAGCATAATGCAAAACATGATCATGAATTCAAACAATTTAGGAAAATTACTGAGAATAGAAACAGGTCTGTAGTTGCACACAGTGGCATGACTGCCTCTTTTAAATACTGGTACAAGAGCAGATTCTTTTCATGCAGCAGAAAAATACTGTTGTCAGGCTCAAGTTAAATATATGCCTAAGAACAGGAATAAAAATACCTGGACAACCTTTTATGATAAAACCAGGAATATCATCAAGTCCAACAGATTTGGAAGATTTTAGTATCATGATAGCTTTGCAGACATCCGCATCAGAAATGGGAGCAAAGGATGAAAATTCAGAAGATATCGAGAGTGGGGGAAAGTCCTTAAAGCAGTGGTTATTATAAACAGATTGAAAGTGCTTAGTGAAAGCATCAGCAACTGCTTTGGGCTGGACTAGGTGTGTACCATTAACTTCTAGCTGAATGGAACCAAATCTGTTTTTCTGAAATTAGATACATATTTCCAGAAATATTGGGGCTGAGACTTTAAATTGTTATCAATTGACTTCAACCACCCAAGCCTGTCAGACTTGATGGTGTTTTCCCCTAGTTTTCGGTAATAGGTAAACCTGTTGTAAAAGTAATCAGAAAGTTTCTTTCTAAAACGACAATGGAAATAATTTTTCTTAGCGATGTAATATTTTAAGGTACAGGAGAACCAGTGAGGGAATTTAGGCTTGCGGCTATAGTCACAAGAAATTGCTGCTCCATTGCACCTCTGACAGCAGTGGTGGGGCTGGCAACTGCTACATCAATAGAAGAAGCTTCATTCACACTTGTCTATTCATACATAGATAGAATGTTGTAAAGCAAAGTGTAGTTTGTCTGCTGTGAAATTTCGGTAACTGAATTCACAATATGAGTTATTATTAACATGAGGTAGAAGCACATCAAACCTCAAAGGAGGATGACATACATCGGGCGCGACCAATCCAGAGTCGACAAGAACAGACTTTAGATCAGTGAAATTAGTAAAGACTAGGTCAAGCATGTTAAGAGTGTCAACAGCTTCAACGCACTGCCTTAGACCAAGAAAACTTTTGGAGGTGTATATAGCATCCCCTTTAAGTTTAGAATAGTAATGACATTTGGGTAGAGGCATCCTGCTCTCCCAGTTAAATCCAGGAGCACTGAAGTCGCCAAGTAATATGACGTCAGTACTGTTAGTGTCTAGGTTGTTTTCAAGATGTCGAAAGTAGCTAGTAATGACTTCCAGTTTGGTGACAGGAGAGAAGTAATGGTTACCAATAAGCATGTTTATGCCATCAGCAGTGGGAATCTCAACCCATGCTAGCCGTAATGGCTGTTAATATGCCACCACCGCGAGCCTTGTTTATATATGGCTGGTCAGACCAGAAAATGCTGTATTTTTTAGAAAACAGATTGTGATCACAACACGGGTTGCTGAGCCATGTCTCAGACAGAAAAATTATGTCACGTCATAAAATTCAAGTTGCTTGGTTCTGAGACCCCTTACGTTTTGATAATAAATGCTGAGAGAGTTATCGAAATTTGCATGTGACATGGCTGAATGACTCGTGCTCGCATCACTGAAAGAGGCCATGTTCAGGTGGATGTTGAGCTGCCTCTGTTAGCCCCATCATTACCAGCTGGATCTGCTGCAGATTTAATAGCGACAGCGGGAGCTCCTGCTCCAAGTGTACTAGGGGTAAATATCTGGTCAGGCATAAAATTGCCATCATATGGAGCAATCAAGCAACCAGAAGGCCAGACACCAATGTTATTTATTAGAGAAAATTTGTCTTCCATTACACAAATATGGAAGGAAGAGTACAAGTGAATTTAGTTTTGAGTTTCATGCAGACAAAATTTTTTTAGACTCAATTGCTCCTTCAATGACTTGTGCACGTCATCAGCAGTAACCTTGGAGCTAAACCAAGAGATAAAAAGTGCCTTAGATCTTCCAGCTTTGTGATGACAAGAAGGATTGCAAGCTGCTAACACCGATGAGGGGCTATCGGTGAGGTTTAACCTTGTTAACAACAGCACTT